CTGCTGGAGACGAACACTCCAGCGAGCCAATCGACCCGTAGGGTCTTTGAGGTTATGCAACCACATGAGTGCAAAATGATCCGTAATGACGACAAAATGAGTTGCTTCGATATATGGACGGAATTTTTCGATTGCCCAAAGAACGGCAAGGCACTCTTTCTCCGTGGTAGTATATTTTCGTTCATTTCTACTCAAGGATCTACTGATGAAACTGACCACCCTTTCACCGTCATCATAAGATTGAGTCAAAACCGCTCCCAGGCCAAAATCACTAGCATCAGTTTGGACACAAAAGGGTCTGTCAAAATCTGGACAGCTAATTATTGGTGCTGATACTAAACTCTCTTTCACTTTATCGAAAGCTAACTGACACTCTTCGGACCATTCGAATTTGGAATGTTTACGCAAAAGGTTTGTAATTGGCGCTACCATAGTAGCGAAACTTGGTATGAACCGTCTATACCAACTTGTCATACCCAATATCCTCCGCACTTCCGAGACGCTTTTTGGTGATGGAATGTTCAGAATCGCTGAGACTTTATCTGGATCAACATGTAATCCCGTACTATTAACTATATAACCCAAATACTTCAGGTTAGACCGACAGAAGTAACACTTTTTTTGACTCACAGATAAACCAGCATTAGTAAGGCGTTTGAATACTTCCCTCAAGACTTCAAGGTGTTTTTCAAAAGTTGGTGTGGAAATGATTATATCATCAAGATAGACGAAGCAGTAGGGTTCAAGGTCGAACCCCACTACTTGGTCTATGAGTCTCTGCCATGTGGCAGGGGCATTGTGCAACCCGAATGGCATTCTACGGAATTGGAAGAGACCGCGCCCTGGTACAGTAAAAGCCGTTAATGCCTTACTCGACTCCTCCAATGGTACCTGCCAATACGCGCTTTTGATGTCTAACGATGAGAGATATTTCGCGTTTCGTAGCTTATCTAGGGTACTAGTTACTTGAGGGAGGGGGTATGCATCCCTCGTGGTCACTTCATTCAGTTTACGAAAGTCAACACAGAATCGATAAGAATCATCCCTCTTCCTGACCATCACGATTGGTGATGCCCAAGGGGAGGAGGATGGTTCCACGATTCCGCGCTGAAGCATTTCGTCCAACTCTTTGTTAACGTGTTTCTGGAGAGCGGGTGATATTGGGTAAAATCGCTGTTTGATAGGTTCTGAATTAGTTTTAATTTTATGTTCCACTATTGATGTACACCCTAGGCCGTCAGGCAAGTCGGAGAAAATACCATTGATGAAAGTTTCCAATTCTGCCGCTTGTTCGTTAGTCAGAGGAGAGTCATCTGTTATAGCCAACAGTTCTGCATCCGGTGTCCCATTCTTAGCAAAATACCAAAGTCCTTCTCTCAAATTGGGAACAATCCCCATTCTCTTCCAAAAATCTGAACCGAGAATAAGAACATGTGGAAGCGCAGGCATCACTAATACATTTAGTACTTGAACTTTCCCTTCGACCCGGAACGGAATATTATAACTTCCGATAACTTGCTTATGATTACCATCAGCCATGCTACAGGATTCGACGTCGCTAGGTAATAATTTTAGATCAAAAACTCTGAGTTGGTCATAGCCTTGACCGCCTATAACAGTCCGAGACGCTCCGGAATCCAAAAGACCCAGGAATTCCTTATCGAACATATTTACCCGCAAATATGGTCTTTCGTCACCAACGACGTTGGCAAGAACGAAATCTAAGTTATGCGATATGCTATTGTCAAGCGCGATCGAGTTCATACGACGAACCGGATTCAAATCTCGATCTACTTTTGATCCGGTGTGACGTTTCCCGAACAAAATGAACAGTTACGAACCGTAACACCCCTCTGTCCACAACGGTAGCAATGAATTACGCGCGGTTCCTGGCAATCTCGTTTAAGATGTCCCTGTTTACGGCAATTCCAACAGGTTGGCAAGCGGATATTATTATCTGTGCTACAGGGTGAAGCCCTAGTCTGAGGAATGGTAGCTACTGCTTCGAGCTCGTGGACTCTAGGTTTACGGTACATGAGATTTGCTTCAGCGACTACCCTTGGATTCGTCGGCGGTGGACGCCATTGTTCGGTCCGCCAGAAGACATCTTCGATTCCTTTGCCATACTCTACTAATTCTCCTAAGCTGGAAATCGGTCTCAATGCCAGCTTTTTTTGAATTTCTGGGAGCATGTTATCGATAATAATGCGTAATCTTTCTGATTCCGATGGTTTTTGTTTTAGCCGATTGAAATATGTTTCCATTGTTGCTATATATATTGCAGATTTCTCCCAGCATTTATACCCCACGAGGCGTTCAACGTCCGCAAAATTATACGCAAGCGCTGAACGCCACCGGGCAAGGAAAGAAACACTCCATAACAAAATCTAATTTCATGCGAAATGGGAGTGGCTGGTTGCCCGACTGGCAAAAACCAAATACTCAAATACTAGTTGAAAATACGCCAGTCGGGCAACCAGCCACTCCCATTTCTCCTGAAATGGGATCTCGTTATGGACTGTTTCTTTCCTTGCCCGGTGGCGTTCAGCGCTCGCGTTTCATTTCGCGGACGTTGAACGCCTCGTGGGGTATAAATGCTGAGATGCGTTTATGTTTGGTCAGGTTCGCACCAGATAGCGGTCAAGAAGCTATCAAGTAGTTGTTTTTCTCTCGTTATCTACCATTTTCGTTCATTTTATGAACTATTGTGGTGAAGACTTTGAGTTTATCTCTATTTGTAACAATTGCATTCCACTTTGAGTATTTGGCTTTTTCCTAGTTGATAATCAATTTTGTTTTGCAGCGCCCACTCGAACGAGAAACTGTTCTTACGCGACTTCGTCAAGTGCGTGTCTGGCAGCAGCGGCGGTCGCTTGGCGCAGTGGCTGCAGCCGGCAAGCCGAGTCGATCCCGCCCAGTGTCGGGTAGTGTATGCACGCGACGAGCTGCGCTGCGGTTGGCCGGCTACCGTCACTGTACTGACCAGGGACCAGTACGGCGAGCCGGTGCACGTACCCGACATGAAGGTCGACGTCAAGGCCATGCCGATCGACAAGAATATCGGTACGATGCACTGATAAAACTACTATTTTGACCGCTCCTTGTCGTAAAAACGCTTCTGTTCGATGGGCAGGAACCCTCAAACTGTCGTTCATGACATCGAGTAGTTTTTATTAGTGCTCGTTAATTTTATTTTCTGGTGGTACTGAAACCAATGAAGAAAAAAACCCGCGCATGATGGTTCACAAAAATTTGAGACAAACTTCTGCCTTAAAACGCATTTCTATTGTGGTATTTTGCATAGATATATTATTTTATTTGATTATTTAACTGCAGTGTCCAATTCAATATCGAATATACGTGCGCCTGGATAACGGAATGAGAATGTCTGATTCCCAACAGAAACAGATCACGCAATTCTAGTTCAGTATTGAGTCGATTTTTCCTCGCATCGGTGCATGATAAACTATTAATCATTGTCCCTACTTCCTACTATGATGGTACGGTCATTAATAGAAAACGTGTAGTTATTGCTGCTTACAATGATTCCAAAGTTGATATATTTCATTATAGTCAGAACGCTCATTTTATTTTTTCATCTAAAGAGCCATGCCTTCTATTATTATTCTATTTGAATAATTCACAAGAATATATGCCGAAAATTAATAATATATAAATAAGACATGCATTCAAATTCGTTATATGTACCCTTATTTACCGAAGCCACTATAAATCAATATTTCTGCAATTATGGTTTTTGATAAGGAAAGTAGTTGTTTTCTATTGAATTAACTGAAAAAGAGTTAATATTCTCATCACATAGAGAATGCGAATTCTCAATGTATTGCTTTATATAAATAATATATCCATTTTTGTATGTTCATAATTTATCTGAGAATATTCCTTTTCATAATCAAAGGTACTTGAAAAAAAAAATATGGTTCAAGTTCGAAGAAATGTTGAGATATAGGCACTCACTTACGTTACTCAACGAATCCTAAAGGGGGTATACAGGCAGTATTTGTTTTGTCGTACCACTATTGGCATCTCGTAAACGGTAAATAATACAAAGTTGGTTGAATTGAAAATCAGAACAGAGCACATCGAAGCAAATTTGAAACAGAGGTTAATGTTTCATGAACACATTGTCATGTACTTATTGTCCAAAAAGCAATCGCCAGCGCAAAGAATAGATAATTGCCATTCCGGTTTTGCCAAATATCTTGAAAACGGTTCGTGATGTTTCCTAATCACCCTGTACAAGGATATTCTGAGGAATGAAGAGCACTACTCTTTTATCATCAACATGTTGACAAACATTTCCGTATAAAGTCCTAAATTTTAGGTTAGTAACAAGATATCGAGATGCGGTTTTCGCGAGCTTGTTAAAGCATCATTAAGCAACCTTTCCATGAAAAAAAATCATACCGATGCATTTGATTTTTTTGAGAAAATCAACTATTTCTGTCGGGATGTCGAAAAACATCCCTCTAGCAGCGACATGTGTAACTAACAAAACTTCAAATATTATAACGTTTGTAGCACAAGAATAGCTCTTTTTAACTAGTAGAGTACCCCCCACCACTTTATTTTCAGAGATACAGCAGAAATTGTCGAACAAAAAAGGTTCAGATTTTTATCGAAAATAAAAATCAGGTATTTTTTTGTTAGGTTAATATAGCGGAATTCACCGAAAATTCACTTTTCAGATTCAAGATTACAGTTACGCACCCTAACGGTCATTTGAGAAACTTGAAAATATTTTCCAGGTTTTTCTCTTGGGCGTTTTAGTAATACAATTTTTTGCCGCAGTCCGTACGATGGATAGTTTCCTAGATACAGTACCTCGCATTCTTAGTTGGCCACCCTGTACAAGATGAAGATGTATTGATTGATCTGTATTGATAATCGTATCTATTTAAATTATTAATATTCTAAAGTTTTGTGTTAATCATTATTTTTATTTTGAATATGAAGGGGAATACGACGGGGGCAGGAAGATGAGGAGAGTCAGCCAGGCAGACCTGTTGACTTACGGGGGCCTACCGCCACCCCCTTTGCATCATTTGTATGAACCGACTATCAAGGATAAGATGTGTTTCCATTCCATTACAGTAATGAAGGTTTGTTATCAAATGTTTGACATTTCGATATTTTTAGAGCAATGTGCTTCTGGGAGTGAATAATTTTATGCACTTCTGGGATTTAAAGGGTACCTTTATTCCCTATTTTCGGGGAAAAAAGTGGTACTTTGAATCCCTAGGGATTTAAAGTGTATTTCTTTGCGATGAAAGCTAAGTTTAGATATGTATTCTCAAAATGTCTGTTGCAGTACCATTTGATAAACTCAGGTAACTGTTTTTTATATTGTTCTCCAGATTATCTTGGCCTTAAGCTGCTTATTGAGCTGCCTTTTCGATTTTTTCCATCGCGATCAACGTCTTTCAATCGGTGTGGTGTGTTTGACTAATATTTATAACACACCAAGATTTCCACTTGCCGATGACAATCATGATCTGGATCACAATAGTTACTGAGGTCGTTGATATGGTAACGATCAGCCCCTTCGATGATGCTTTAGGAATAAAGTAACTACCTACCGTTTAGTAGCATTAAAATTTCTTTCCGTTATTTTTTCTTTAACGTTTTCCCTATTCTGAAGTGCATAAAATAGTAGTAGTAGTAGAATGTATCATAAATACTATGAATTTATGTGAGAATTTTTAGGCGTTATCGTTATCGTTAGCGTTATATAAGTATCGAAGATACTGTGATATCATTTCATTTTTAACCTCATCTCTACTTAATTTTCACGGAATATGGTTACCTAACTGTGCCCGAGAACATGTTTTCGTTAATTTTGACTCGCCTAGGTGACCATCGAGTTCTATTGTGCAGACGACTGTGGATGTTTTTCTTTGATGAAATGTAAAATTCAAACATGCCCAATAGTCTACGATAATGTCTAACTTCATTGAATTATTTTTATGATATGCATGCCAAATTGATTGATTAATTAATTGCCTTTTTTTACTCCAACAAACATTGTTGTTTATTACAGAGATCATCTACAGCTCACAACATGAATTTATGTATGAGTATTTCACTGGAAGAAGCTACTATGATAGTAAAACATGTGTTTTTGAGAATTTAGGGGAATCATTTGTGAAATTTCTACAATTACTATGGATTTCAATCAAGAAACGGCAGAGTCAAAACGTGATAAAATATTTCGATGATGGAATACTCTGATGATAGTAGTCTCATCATTCTTGCTAGTTCCCATAATTTTCAACGTGGGTTTATTCGGAACATTGTTTTACTGAATTTCTAAAAAAGATTATGTTTAAGTTTAAAAATTTTCGGCTTATTTTTAAAGTTGAACTAGGTATCAAGTGTTCTGACATAGTTATTCACAATACTGATTCATTAATTATTGTTGTGCAATCTTCAAAATCTGGTATACTAGGATTTTTCACTGTAAATAGGCCCTAATCACATGTAAAATTTTTCAGCCATTCCAAAATTATTCATTTGAAGAACTTCGTTTCACTTCACCACCTGTAAAGAGATCAGGTGAAAATATGTTGGTTCGTCCGAATTCTGATGGTTCCTACAGTGCTACTTGGACTCCAGCATCTATTGGTTGTTACTCTATAGTAGTAAATATTGACGGATATGATATGGAAGAGGTGAGTTTTTTGTATTTGCCTGATACCCGATAAACGAAAAAACAACTCACAGAACTTATAGGTAATGTTATTGGTGCAAGAAATTCAGTGGTGTAGCTGAGTACTCAAGGCATCCACTGCAGAAATCCTAACGCGCCCCCCCCCCCCCTCTCTAGTGAATAAATATACATTAAGTATTCCCAACTCTAACAAAACATTACTATCACACAGGAATTGAAAATCACACACTGATTCAAATAAAATGTATTTTATTCATACATCATCACAAGTAGTATGACTATATTTCTTTGCTTCATCTCCTTCCACTTTTTTCTTTGCGCTCATACGCTCCACCTGGATAAGCACATTTCATAATTTCACTTTTGTCAACCTAATAATGCGTTGAAATGAACTCATGGTCTTATAACTTTTCTATTGATAAAAAATCGAGCTATCTATCTACTATTGCAAATTGCAATACTGTTCAGGTTTGACGGTACATAAGGACACCAATTGCATGTGTCAAGAAAACAAAAGGGTCTCCGACTTGAGTAACATCTGTGTACAATCTGTGCAGAACGACATTTTGGCCACTTGCTAACAATAAAACGCGTCCTTGGAAATTTACACTCCAATTGGAACTGAATTTCAAATAATTTTTTTGCGTGCCCTGCGAACTCTCAGCTACGCCACTGCAGGAATTATTCAGCGTCTGCAGACTCATAAAATACTCCTTGCAGACGCTGAATAATTCCTGATGTTTTCATCACTTCTTTGCACTAAAAAAACTCTGATCCCAGATACATCAAGTACATCTTATGGATATACTATGGATATTCATCATGGATGTTGTGGATATCCATAAGATATCCGAAAAAGGCTCTGGTATATCCTATGGACGTCCATAGGATGTGACAGTGACATTTTTGGATGTCTTAAAGATATTCATTATGGATATCCATGAGATATCAACGATGGATATGGATAACAGATAGTATACCCTATAAAAACACAAAAATTGGGAAGCACTCACGTCTCACTGCCTTTGAATAATGTAGGTGTCAGTTCTTATGCATCATCAATTTTAGACGAATTCGTAGTAATCACTTCGAAATTCACTTCAAATTAATTAAATGTGAGAACAGATTAACATTATTTGACTATTCCAAGGTTGGTATAATCGATGATCTATAAATAATTATTACTTCTACTAATCTTGGACTATTTGAGACGTTACGCCACCTCGCGCTGTTTTTGAATACCGAATTAATAATAAGTGCATCACAATGTGTGCGATCTTTTGGAAGACCCACGCACAAGTGTTACTTTTGTGGATCTCATTTTATTTATTTATCATTTCATTCATTGTATACAGGGTGAGTCAAAAATGTATACCGAGCTTTCTGGGGGTGATAGAACATTGAAAAATAAGTGTAGTTTGATGATTAAACTCATGGCCCAAAATGCATATTAAGGGAGATATATCCTTCCAAAGTTGATAAAATTAAAATAATATCTCCGCATAACTTCTGAACGATGAAAGCCACCCGATTGAAATTTTGTGCATAAATGTATGTTGTCAAAATACATTTTTTCGTCACACTTCCACATTTCTGATATTGTTATAAAGGGTGTTTTCAGAGGTTGAGTCATGATTTTTTGTAGAAAACTTTTTTCCCTGTATTATTTTCGGTGAAAAAACAGGAGCATTCGATGGAGCGAAGAAAATTACATGAAAAAGGTACTCTTATTCAAATACAAAAAATTGAGCCGTTCGTGAGATATTTGAGTTTTTGTAGTTACATGATATCAGCAGATTGATTTTATTCATCGCGAGATTCATCGGTAACAATATTTGAGCAGGTCATAATGAATAATTTTGTTCTGAATTTTGACGTTCATGTCATCAACATTCGAGTCAACATTGTTGTAGTTGATTTGTTCGTGTGGTTTTTCTGTGTCATTTATCACTGCGATTATCAACTGAGATTTTAAGAAATATGGCAGGTTATTCGTTCTCTGAACAAACTGATATGCTTCTAATGCTTGGCGAGTGCTTCGGAAATGCTGTGAGACGATATGCAGAGATGTTTCCCGCTCGACGCGTTCCAAATTCGAGAACAATTTTGAGGATTGTACAAAGACTGCGTGAAACAGGATGTTTGAAAACCAATAATAGAAATGGTGGCCGACCCAGAAGTGCGAGAACTGTAGAAGTTGAAGAAGAAGTATTAAATACTGTGGAACAGGATCCGGAAATAAGTACAAGGAAATTAGCAAGACGAATAGACACAACACAAGCGAATGTAACCAGGATTCTCAGAGAGCAACAGCTACACCCTTATCATTATTTGCAGGTACAAGAACTGTTACCACGAGACAATGAAATATGATTGAGATTTTGCGAAGAGTTGCTGGAACGAACTCGAAGATGTCCTGAGTTTTTAAACAAAATATTGTTCACAGACGAAGCAACTTTTACTAGAAACGGTGTTTTCAATTCGCGCAACACTCATTTCTGGGCTGACGAAAATCCACACGTTGTTAAAGTAACGCATTTTCAATATAATTTCAAAGTGAACGTCTGGGCTGCGACTTTAGGAGACAAATTCGTTGGATACTAATGTTCCCAGGGTCTCTGAATGGTGCAATGTACCTCAACTTCTTAGAAAATGAGTTAGGTACGATATTAGAAGACATTCCTCTCAACATACGTAGGGAAATCTGCTTTATGCATGATGGAGCACCACCTCATTATGTAAGAGTTGTACGTGAATGGCTTAATGATAATTTTCCTGATAGGTGGATAGGACGAGGCATAGACGCTCCTATTTCCTGGCCCGCTCGTTCGCCTGACCTCAATCCACTAGATTTTTCGATCTGGGGTTACATGAAATCTAGGGTTTATTCAAGCAAAATTCGGAATGTTGATTAGCTGAGGCAAAAAATTGTGAACGAATTTACGTTGTTGAAAAATGATCACCTAACTATAAACGGTTTGATGAATAATTTACGTAAACGCCTCAGATTATGTATAACCGAAAACGGTCGACATTTCGAACAGCTACTTTAATTTGTTTTTTTCCTTTTTCTTCCATTCAAAATTATGTATTAATTAAAAGTACCAAAAACATTATCAAACTTTTTCTTTTATTCAAACCTTGTTGGGACAGACTTATGCTATGTACTTATTGCTCAGTAACGTGGCACAGGGAGGTGATATTATCGACAAAATTAAAAACAAAATTGTTCATGGCCTGCTGAAATATCGGTAAGCGTTATACCGATGAATCTCGCGATGAATAAAATCAATCTGCTGATATCATGTAACTACAAAAACTCAAATATCTCACGAACGGCTCAATTTTTTGTATTTGAATAAGAGTACCGTTTCCATGTAATTTTCTTCGCTCCATCAAATGCTCCTGTGTTTTCACCGAAAATAATACAGGGAAAAAAGATTTCTACAAAAAATCATGACTCAACCTCTGAAAACACCCTTTATAACAATATCAGAAATGTGGAAGTGTGACGAAAAAATGTATTTTGACAACATACATTCATGCACAAAATTTCAATCGGGTGGCTTTCATCGTTCAGAAGTTATGCGGAGAAATTATTTTAATTTTATCAACTTTGGAAGGATATATCTCCCTTAATATGCATTTTGGGCCATGAGTTTAATCATCAAACTACACTCATTTTTCAATGTTCTATCACCCCCAGAAAGCTCGGTAGCTCGGTATACATTTTTGACTCACCCTGTATACTTGATTTGAAATCTCTAGGTATGGATCTTTTGTTTCTGTATCTCATGGATATCCTATGGACGTATTCAGGACGTTTGTTTCGGATATCTCAAGTACATCCGCAATCGGATATCTTATGGATATACATTTTATGTCCACGGATATCCCGCCTTGAATAGAACTTGAAATGGATATCCATAGGTTAACTGGGATATGTTGCTGAACAACAATTGCACTATATAGTTAAACAAATCAAGACTTGCCTGGCATCAATAACATTGGCTATAAGTTCTGTGTAATTTAATTACAGCACAATTCCCAGTACTTTGGAAAAGTACATTGATTTATTTCATTAACCTTCACAGATCTTCAAAGTAGAGGTGAACGAACCACCTCAAGGAATGACGCCACCAAATCAGAATACCGCCAAAAAGTCTGAGCATCAACCCAGCAAGTTGAGAAAATTCGTTGCCAAAAACTCTGCAGGGCTCAGAGTGAGAGCACACCCTTCATTGCAAAGCGAACAAATAGGAGTTGTGCATGTTAATGGGACTATAGCTTTCATTGATGAGGTTAAGAATGATTCTATAGTAATTGGGGATTCATTTAGACCTTTTTTTTATTCGAAGTAAAACACATCATTAAATGGAGGGAACAACAATTGATGAGGTTAAGAATAATTCTATAGTAATTGATGATTCCATTTCGACCTTTGCCTTCTAAGGTTTGTATCGTAGCTGGCTTATCAACTAAGACTTTAACATCATCATAATATGATGTTAAATCAAAAGTCTTCGTCGATATGCCAGCTACGATAAACGACTAAGAAGCTAACATTACTCGCGTATTTGGGCAGATACCGGTCGCAATGCTAGAAAGAATCGACAATTATTATTGGACCTTCCGAATGGAGCACGTAAAGCGTAGACGCGACCAGCATTTAACGGAAATTATTTTCAAAAAATAAATGTTAATGTCGTCAGGTCTAAATGAATCACCCTTTATATACAGGCTAAATCACGGTGGAAGGCACTTTAGAAGTTTCTGATGAACCAGGCAACTGATCACTTTGAAACTTAAATGAAGAGCATATTCGGACATTATCTATCTAAATGAAATATTTTCAGTAATGCGGTGTTGCCACTTCTATTTGAAAGTAGTAGCACCTTTCATATTTCAAATGGAATAAGAACCCTGTATATAATATCATCTTAAAAATCTCCGACAACTCATCATGATCCGGATCAATGATCTCATATATATATATATATATATCATATGTTTATGTATCCCTATTATAAACAAATATGTTTCTTGGGGTAATAAAGAACAACAACAACAACAAACGCACGGGTGTTTTGTAAACTTTTCCTTCAAACATTCCCTACAGATTGAATAGTTTTGTTCAATCGTTTTTGAAGGTATTTGCAACTTCTGCTTACCCAAGTACTGAATCGGGGATACCATTTTGAAGGGACATTTACACAAATAAATGCTCATAAGTCCAGAACTTGGCTAGTAAAATATGGGTTGGATATAGATAGAAAGCAAGCAAATTTCAACACCTTCCTGAAGTTCTAATAATATACAGGGTGTTTCATTTGAAATAATAAACGTTCAGTCACTTCTTCAAACCATATCTGTATTTTTTATCATCCTATATTGAAGTAACGTAGATTGAGCTGAATTGTAGAAAGCCTCAAAGTATCACCTAACTCACAGAATTTCTATAATATAGTACTTCTTAATCGAAACATATCAGTAGTTTAAGAGGTCATGATTTTCGAAAAAAATAATTCACATTCATTTTCATTTCGAAAACGGTAACAGATAGCTACATATAAATATAAAGATAAGTTGTTGGGAAAATGTTGGAGATTCTAAAAATGATATTATATACAGGGTGTGCCATTTGAAAAATCGAAGTTGCTACTACTTTTTAATGAAAGTGGCAACACCGCATTATCGATAATATTTTAGTTGAGTAGAGAATGTCCGAATATACTGTCCTTCAAATTTTCGAAGTGTTCCATTTTCTGGTTTACTAGAAACTTCTAATTTGCTATCCACAGTGAATCAGAGCCTATATATGTATATACCTTGAATGGTATTTCATTTTGATTTGGAAAAACTTTTACAGATTCATAATGATGATGGAGTTTGGCTGAGATTATCTGCTGATACTATAAAACAGTATTGCAACATAAGTGTTATAGAAGCTTGGTGCTTACAGTATAACCAACATTTAGGTAAAACACTCCTTTTGCCTGTGGAAGAACCAAAAACAACAATGGATCAAGCCATAAATGATACAATTATGAGGAAACTACCTGAAATTCAAGAAAGGTACTTATGAAAATTCATCGAATTTGATTCTGGAAGCTGATAATAATAGCAATTACTGGATCACTAATTGAATAATTTGTTAAATTGAAATTAGGAATGGAAAAATTGAAATAAACAAACAAACCACTGATAACGTAGAATGTTTAACTGACTAGGTATGAAATTCAAATATTATATATGGTGAAGTCAGCTAAAATAGAATATATCAATAATAGGAAATATCAATTATCTGAAGGTTATTCAAAAAAACTATGGGATACAATAGCAGACTGTTCAAGAAATGAATCGAAATGCTCTAAAATAAATGGTCAAATCATCAGTAGCAATCTAGAGAAAAAAACACTGAGGCATTGAATTCGCACTTTACAAGTGGTGAATATACTACAAATGGAATATTAAACTCTTCAATTATGTGTCAGTTAACAATTATTTTACAATACTCCTGATACCCACTGATGAATGTGGAACAATGAATACAATAGTTAGTACATGTCCCGATCCAGAAGATTGATTTGTAGATTTCATCAATAAAAAATATGGATTTTACCCAAGCCAATTCGGTTTTCAGCAAATCAGTGGGTGGCTACACTATCAGCAGTACGACGAGTAATTAATTTCAGACTTTTGATAGTGTCTACCTAGCTTCAGTGAGAATCATTAGAGGTATTGGAAATAATCTATTGATGTTATATCTTGAAAATTGGACTAATATAACATATATGAACATAATATTTTTCTGAATATCAAAATAAAAAATATTCGTTCCAAACAATCTGCTATTATTACCTTTAGTATTTGGGCTGATGAGAATTGACATGGGAAAAGCTTAATGAGATTCTCAAAGGAAAAATATCTCATTATTGGTGCTTCAAGACGATGTTTTACACTTTGTACATCAAATATATTCTCCAGCAACACATCCTCAGTCGAATTAACTATCTGATAAATATTTGGCCATCTCCTTCCAAAAATATTATCAACAAAATTTCTGTTCTTCATTAGAAGGAATTGAAAGTACTGTATCGTCTTTCATATGAGACTCCAACAGATTAGTTGTATAAAGAAACAAACACAAGAGCACTAAGTACGTGATATTATTACTCCTAAAGTAATCATAATACTAGAAAATATAACTTATTGTTTCATCTTGGAGCTGCAAATTCTACAATGGGCCAAAAAACTGCACAAATATTATACAGTTCAAAAGTTAAGTCAAAAAATATATTCTAGTACAAAGTAATTATCAAAGCTGACATACTTCATGAATTTTCATAGTTTTTCTCTACTGTTTCTCTATTCTTCGTGTTCTTGTTGTAACTTGCAAATTCCATTATTTGTTGAAGTAATTAAATTTACAGTAAATAATTCATCAATGATCTTATACCAGTTATGGTATCTGATTATTCATGCTAATAATATTTTAAGAATTAGGTACTTCATGTTATTTGTATAAAATATTGAAATGAATCATCGACATTCAAATTATCAACAATCATAAACAATATGCCTATTCTACTACGGGCACACTGATCTCAAAATATTTTTTCCAGAAACAAATCGGCAAATACAAGTGTGAATTACCAAGTTATCAAATGTGGGGCATCTGGTCACAACGTCAGAAGCCGTCCAAGTTTCAAAGCACCTCCAGTAGGAATGTTGGTACTAGGAAACAGAGTAGGTGTCACTGAATACACTGTTAACTCAGACGGCTGTTGGGTTATGTTAGATAAAGCCACCAAAGATAAATATTGTTTCAATTCTGATTCAGAAGCTTGGTCTCTAGCAATTGGTCACAATAATGTTTTGTATCTGGGAAACATCAACGAAACAGAAGAATATCCGAAGTTGACTCAAGAGATCGATGCTTCCAGGAAACAAAAAAGGGGTTTCAATTTTTCTCTCAAATCAAATGAATCTAGCTTCTCATTCTCAGCTCAGAGTTCTTCTGATAAGGAAGACGTTATTTCAACTAATCCTTTCATTTTTGGAGAAAGTCCGCCTCCCGAGAGGAAACCTTCAAAGAAAGATAAAAAGGAGAGCAAACTGAGTAGCCTTCCAAAATGGTTCAAGAGTGAAGATTCTAAAAAGTAAGAAATTTTCTTCATTTATATCGGCTGTAGTGATATGATGAGTATTGTTCTTATCCATGATTGACTTTTTCATTCTTCTTATTCACAGTGAATTGCATTCTCCGATAAGGCCGCCTAGTGAAGGTGGAGCAAATGGTAATGGAATAACCCCTCCAGATACACCCAAAAGATCACAGAGCCCTAGAGGCCCAAATTCGTCTCCTAAAATTTCGAGTAGGAGTTCCAGCCCTGTTGCAATTCCCTGTAAGTTAAATTGAAAGCGAAATATTATTGTCTGCTTATTCTTTATGTTGTTTTGCAGACCGTTCGGGAGGTGTTCAAGAAAGTACTAGTAGCAGTGCACATATACTTGGTTCACCTAAGAGTATTGGCGTTTCACTACGAGGTATTATAAATTTTATTTCTGACAGTGACATTATAAGCTTATATCGTCATAGTTACGATATCTATAATGAGGGTCATAACTCCCTTGGGATGTTATAGATGCTATAATTCCCTCTAGCTAAAATTAAATAAGAAATGCATAGCAACAACCACGCAATAACGAATCTCCTATTCGCGGTAGTCAAGATCATCATCTGACGTTCTGATGACATTGAAACTATACGAAAAAACATGTCTTAACTTCCAATCGGGAAGGTATCTAATCGTCAGAAATAAAATTATCTATGTATCACGGGAATTATAGAGCCTTAATAACCTCTGGCAATTGCTGTCCCTCGGGCCAGAGGCCCTCGGGACGCAAACTTTGCCATCGGTAATTAAGGCCCTCATAATTCCCTTAATACATAAATAACTATAATATTGATGCAGTTTTGTTTTATGAGTGTCTCAAGTCCCTCTGATTTTTCACGAGTATGAATGTACGAAATTATGTTTATTTTTTATGTGAAAGTACCCTAGTGAGAATTGTGTTGCTACTCAGCAAAATATTCGTAAGTACTTAATTTGACGAATGTGAATGTCTATATTGATTAATCAGTCGAATCAGTATAGGTTATTCTCGGTAATATATCAAAATTAATTTTTGCATTATTTTTGGTCAAGTTTATCGTCCTGTGTCTTGATATTGAAGAACATGCATATATTGGAACTGTTTTTTTTGTTTTGAAGTCAGTAACACATACTTGAATTACCCACACGTATTCGAGGAACGGCTTGTACATTATTTATAATTAGCTGTTGAACAACTGCCTCAAAAATTTTAACGAATCAAGCACAGCGACATAACTGCAATTATTTTGCATATTTATAGGCTCCCCGATTGAAATTATTATTATTATTTTAATACAACAAACATGCGCTTCAGAGTATATTCTTTACATGTCTCTCCTGATATTCACGATCATCCATTTGTTAATAAATATCAGATCATCCATGAAACACCTGTGAATCCAAACGTTTTGTGTTTCATGAAACAAATGTTGAAGAAATATCATGTGTATGTTCTTAATATTTCTCTATCACACCCACTCCATTTTTCAAAATAATGTAACTTGTATTCCTTCTCAATTCAAATAAAATGAAATGATTTCTTTATTTGATACTTCAAAGTTTACCAATACTATTGAATACAGAATTTAACGCTGAACTATTTTCAGAGAAACAGTCATCGTTTGGAATAATAAATTTCAGTATGTATTATTTCTTCCTGTATATAAATTTATGGGGTTTGGGTAAGAAAATTCAAATATCGAATATTCACAAATATATTATCAAGAACAATATAAATTAACCGATTCCAGATCATATTTTGCCAGAATCAAAAACCTCACATATTCAACTATATCTAAATGGTACTAGAATGAATTCATGAATGAATGACTATGAATCTGAAACTCGATGGTAACAATTATTGAATTGACTAAGATATCATGAATTGATGATCAATAAATCAATTGATTATATGAGATCATACTCATCAACGGAAACAATAACTAATAAATATAGTCTCTTCTTTATATTGATCTGTAGCACGAAAATGGTATAGTCTGGTATTTTATGCTGGTTCTTTAGCACTGGAATAAGGCCATCGTTGTTGAGTTTGAACTCCTTCGAATGGAGTGAATATAAACCATTCACTTCTAGTAAGTATTGATTGAAGAACTTAGTTGGGCAAATGAACGATTCAATATAGCTGTCTTCAGCAGCAAAAAATCCCTCTTACGGATTCAATTTTTATAAAAATGAAATATCGAATTCTCCGAAAATGTTACAAAACAGGGCAATGAAGATTTGCTACTCCCTACCTCGTTTAACCCCAACCACCGAAATTTACTCTCCAAAAGGTTTTCTCTCAGTAGACATTACCTACTGAATACTTTAAAGCCAGTATCTAAATTCATGCGAAATTAAATAAAAACCACACTATCTTACAATTTAGATTAACTCAAATCCAAATATGGAATGAATTCCATCTTCATTATTCCAAACTTTTTGGGATTTTCTACTCGTTTCTATGAAATAAAAATATGAATATTATTTCAATATACTTGTAGTAACGACAAATCAGATGGTTTGCCCCTAAATGTCACTGCGTTTAAAGGATTTTCCAGAGAGCCTAAATTCTAAAAGAAAAATTCACTAGCTTGTCAGTAACAGAGAAATTTGGAATAATGAATGTACCACCTCCTCGATTATTCTACAGACAGTATTTATACTAGTACCTATTATAGAGAGGAAATATTAGATTTTTTGTTTGTTTGTATTGAATACGCTCCGAAAATACTGGACCGATTTGAATTTTTTTCACCATTAGCCGACATTATCCTTGATGAACATAGGCTACTTTTTAGTTTTTACTGCGGCAAAATGCTACATATATAACTACGGGGAAACGGGTAATAGGACAACGGGTAGTAAGAATTATCCTTCCGTAATTATATCTTTTTCACATAACTTCTAAACTGCTGAATCGATTGGGTTGAAATTTCATATGTTTATTTCGATGGGTTCCTGGATGATTTAAAAATTGGATGCGATAGGTGGCGCTGCTGTCGTTACAACTACTAAACGACTTGACCGATTGGGTTGAAATTTTGTATGAGTATTTCCATGGTTTCATTTTTTTTTAAATGGGTACACCAATCGTGCAAAGCTGGGCCGGGCAACTAGTCCATTATAAAGGCATACAATGTCATAATGAATTGCCAGGACAAATAAAAAATCTTCCCTTGCATTGCATGAATTTTGAACGGAATTGAAGAAATGGATTCTAGGCGAATGAATAAATGGAAACTGGCACATTAATTGACATTAATACATTCAAGTTATAGGTATTTTAATTCGTATGTTATTATCATAACGTGCAATTTCTGTACTGTTCAACCTGAGTACTATAGTGTGTATGTATATTAAACTACTGTATTATCACTCCTCTTCAACTTACTTTTTTCTTTGTTTTTAGCATAGAAAAAGTGCATATTTTTTAATTGGAGTAAATGAAACACTTCCTAAAAAAACGAGATGATTACTGGTACGAAGACATCTAAAACTCGTCCAGGGATTTCTAATAGATATCAGATTCAGAAATTACCACCACGCTGTTTTTATCTAAATTGAAAAGAATTGAAATATGAGCACACGTTACTTGAAAACTTATGTTCCTTACCGTGGTTGTTGCCTTTGAATATTTGTATGAAATATTTTTGCAAATCTTGACTGATGTCATATTCAAAATTATTTATTGCTTTCAATTTTTTTTCGTGGTCACGTTCATCGTAAACCGTGTGCACATTGATAAAATTATTTATTTATTGATGTGAACTTGTGCCGTTACAAGTTATTAGACAAAGCGTGCCCTTCTTTCCATAAGTCTTTCCATTTTTTCTAAGAGTGAAGAAACGAATAGTGGTTATTTGGTAAATACACAAAACAATCAAGTTGAATTGATAATCTCTTCACTACTGAATTGAATCATCAAATAAATATTGAATTGTATTATTGTTCAGTATGCGGTACTGGAAATGAGACAACAGCAAGAAGAGGCTCAAATCAGTCAGACACTAGCGCGCTGGTAAGCAGTCTGACGAGAGACGTGTCACAGTCACCTAGTCAAGCCACCCAACCGAGAGAGATGTCACCCAGTCCAAGCTGTAGTTCAGTACACACCAACAGATCAGAATCGAGTCCACTACATACACCATACTCGAAAGAAGTCACTGTAAGAGTGAAATAATTATAATAATTTTCAAATCCGAATAATCTATAGTATGAATTTATGAATATTAATTTATCCACCAAGGACGAAACACTGTCTATTAAAGTCGAGTCTGCAAATTGATAGCCGAGGCCTTTTCCGAGGCTAGCAATCAGGCGGGACAATAGACAGTTTTTCGCCGAGGCGCATATTACTTCAACTGCAAATTACAGTTGTTATCAACTCACTCTCCGCGCGGACAACGGTTTCCAGTTCGATTTTTATTTGATCAGTAAATACCTTGTCAAAAATGTAGATCTATTTTATACTACATGAATTCCAGGAAAGGATAATGAAATGAACCTCTATGACGTCAAAACATTATGTATTTTTGGTGAACAGAAAAGTAACCTATTTCTAACAAAATAGAATCGAACAAAACAAATATAATACAGTTGCACAGGTACTTATACGATTGAGTATAAGAAACAAACTGTTATAACAGTTAAAAATTGAATTCGATCTGAATCAGATGAAATATTGTCCTTTTTTTGGTTCATAAATGTAGGAATTTATATTTTCATTTTGTTTATAATAATTATATTATATTGTTTGCATTGAATTTTATTGTTTCTCCTACGGTGAATTTATATATCACTCGGTGTTTCAATATTCAATTAGGATAACGTATTATCGAGAATGACAGTGGTATCCAAGGTTAATAAATAATAACAAGAAAGGGGCAATTCCGAGAGACGTTCGGAATATACTATTTATGGAAGTTTTGGTTAAGATATTGAAGAATCTCATAGCTAAATAATAGTAAAAGACGAATAAAGACGTGGGGAGCATCTTAGTCGAGCCGCGACGGACGTAAAGAGATCCTTGAAAGGTGAGCAGATCAAGCTCAATATTGTGACGTACTGTCAGTGTTCCTGTGACATTGGTTGTCCGAATAAACACTTTCACTTACCCCCTTGGACTATCATTCACCCTAGACAACATAAAAATCCTACATTTTGGGGGCTCGTCCGGGATAAAGGATAATAGAATATGCGATATTGAGGATGGAAGATGGAATATAGACAGTTGTGAACGAGTTGACGTATGATTTTTGGGCGTTTGTCAAACTGAAAACTCTGGGAGGCACAAAGAAGATATTCAACGAAAGTGAACTCAGAGACGTGTTTGCTAAAGACGACTGTGAGACGACATTCAGTTGCTGCAGCCTACGAGCAAGAGTGTTCCATAGGAAAAGAAGCGTTGCAAGAACTGAGAGGCAAAAAAGACGTATTCACTTCACTCATACACACTCATGGATTCTACAAGGTATGATGCACATTTCCTTCAATAAATTGTATCGAGAACGAGAAGAGCCATAAACGAGTTTGATAATACAGCGGATATTGATAGAAGATATTATCGTGAAGCAGTTCGAAGAAGGTCAACATTTAATCTTTAATATTGTTTAATTGTTCAATTTCAATTCCATATCTGTGAACGTTACAGTATTTGAGTTTATTCTGAAGTTGCGGCTCGACTTGCCTCAGATAATTCATTTGAAATTTTAACGGAAAAGATAATTTTCGCAGTTTGCTATTAGTATCTGATTATTCTACTAATTGATTGTTGACTTGATTATTAGATATTATTTCTCATTGCAATGCCTGAACTAGGAGAAATTGCGAAGATTTCGCAAAATATTACTAGTAGTTCTTTTCAAGCTGTTAAGGCTCTACATGTAGTTGCGTATGGTAATGAGGGAGACAGTAGAAAAACGCGAAGAGCGTTACGCGTTTTTGCTGGTTTCGGTTTAGACCAAAAGTCTGCGGAATATGCGCAAAAAGTAAACGAGGTGAAACAAAATGTGCAGTTGCCTGATCTCATTGCCGTGTGTAATATACTAGATCTTGATTATTCGGGTAGTAGTGATGAAGTGGTAGAACGCATTTGTTCCTTTATGAATGACATACGAATACATAGTGAAGAGAAGTTGGGAGAAGATGGAGTGGAAAAAGATGAGTCAGAAGAAGAAGAAGAAGACGTTGAAGGTGAGAATAGAATTGGATGTAATCAGAATAGTGAAGCTATTCGAAATACAAAAATGACGGGTTCATTCTCATTGACATTTAGAGATGTTGAAGACAGTATTAGGTCCTTCGATGGGAAGGATAATTATCCAGTTAGAAAATGGATAGAAGATTTTGAAGAAATATCTGAGTTAATAGGATGGAATGAACTACAGAAGTTGATATTTGCTAAAAAGTCATTGACGGGACTTGCAAAGCTTTTCATTCAGTCGGAAAAAGGTATCACGAAGTGGTCAATTTTGAAAAAGAAATTGATAGACGAGTTCGAAGTGAAAGTGAGTAGTGCTCAAATACATAAATTACTAATGACTAGAAAAAAGCGGAGAGATGAACCAGTGCAGGAGTATGTGCTGACTATCCGAGAAATTGGCAGCAGAGCAAATATAGAGTCAGAAGTTTTGATTCAATACATCATTGATGGTATTCAAGATGACATGTCAAATAAAATTGTTTTGTATGGAGCTAAAAGTTTTTCCGAATTCAAAGAAAAAGTGAAGTTATATGAACAAATTAAAACCGTGAAATCATCGCATGGGTCAGAAAGGTATCAAGAAGGTAAACCGAAGAATGATTGGAGAAGAGAAACTAAAGATAAAGAGGAAAAGAAGTACAAAAGAAAAAACACGGGACATTGCTTCAACTGTGGAGTCAGAGGTCATTTGTCAAATGAATGTCCTGACAAAGCCAAAGGAACGAAGTGTTTTGTATGCTCTGGTTTTGGTCATTTATCAACAAAGTGTCCAGAAAAAAACAAGGGAAGTGGAAGTTCTAATATGACTATAGTGGAAGTGGTACCTAGTAACAGTGTGAAATTGATTTTATGTAATATTCAATTGATAGCACTTTTAGATACAGGGAGTGACATAAGTGCGATACGACAGGACGTGTATGAGGCATATTTCAATGGAATTGTTCTGAATAAAGAATACCTCATTCTAAGAGGTATTGGATCGAATAGAGTGGCAACAATTGGGTTTTTCGAAAGTGACGTCATTATAAATGGAGAAGAATTAAGTCTTCGTATCCATGTTATACCTATTCAAGCAACAACTTTCAAGGCAATCATAGGAAATGATGTTTTACTTCAAGCGAATGTTGTCTTCAGAGAAGGAGAAGTTGTTCTTTTCAAAAAAGAAAAAGATAATTTTTTGTTGAATATAACTGTGGATGAAGAAGATAGAAAAGATACCGATATAGTAGATGTGAGTCATATAAAAAATGAAGAAATTCGAAAAGAAGCTAAGAAGTTGGTAGGGGAGTATCATCCGGAGAAGAAAATAGACACAGATGTAAAAATGAAGATTATATTGAAGAATGAAGAACCAGTATATCAATGTCCAAGAAGATTAGCTATACCAGAAAAAGAGGAAGTTGAGAAACAGATAGGAGAGTGGCTGAAAGAAGGAATAATAAGACGTAGTTCATCTGATTTCGCTAGTCCAATAGTTCTTGTCAAAAAGAAAGATGGCAGTACAAGAATATGTTGTGACTATAGAAAGCTCAACAAACATATTGTGAAAGATAGGTTTCCTCTACCGCTAATCGAAGATGTTGTGGATAGATTACAGGGTGCTATATACTTCTCCACCATTGATCTGAGGAATGGATTCTTTCATGTGGGAATAGAGGAAGATATAGTATTAAATATACTGCATTCGTCACACATCACGGTCAATTCGAATTCCTGAAATGTCCTTTTGGTCTATGCAATAGTCCAGCGGTATTTCAGAGATTTGTCAGTACTGTTTTCAGGAATTTGATGATGGAAGAAAATATCATGCTTTATTATATGGATGATATAATAATTATGAGCTCCACAGAAGAAGAAGGATTAGAAAGATTAAGGAAAGTTATGAAGGTTGCAAAAGACTACGGATTAGATATTAAAAAGAAAAAATGTCAACTGCTGAAGAAAAAAATTGAGTTTTTGGGATTTATTATTGAAGGTGGAAAAGTTCAACCCTCGAATGGAAAGACTTGGGCGATCAAAAATTATCCACAACCGATGTTTAGACTTATAATGTTATCACATTTTTGGTATGAGCTGAACCTGACTGGAAGGCGATGAAAAAAGCTGAAGAAATTGTCAGAGCAACGGGACAACAGGATTGTAATAAAAAATCGAATCTGATATGACATATTTGAATTTCAAAGAATAAAAATAGTTTTGAATAATATCGTGAATACTTGTGTTTTCCCCGCAAGGGGTGGTCCTTCGACTATATTGAACCATCGAACGAATCCTCGAACGAAATAACATTGGTACATCGAGCCGGATTGCAGAGAAAAATGGATCAGCAGTAGCAGCCAGCATCCTGCCTGTGCGATAATAGTTAGCAGTCAACAACTTACTGTGAGTTCGTTTCATGTCGCTTCCTTATTTTCCTATCCTTACCGAAATCCTTGTGATTCGAACATGCTTGTAGTTCATTAGTTTTTGCAAAAAATCGTAAAGGTAGTCGAAAGCTTAACTCGTCTGATTGTCACGTATACATACCTCTTCTCGTTACTCGTTAATCGTATAGCTAGCTATAATAGTAGCAACATAAACGTAAACTCGTCTCGTAAAAATCGAATGATTTACAAATCGTAGCCTGAAATACTCTATTTGATCGTTGCTTCGTTGAATTTGCAAAACCTCGACACGTTCACGGTATCTATATTCAATATATAGAGAAACTTATCTCATCATTGTCCAAAAATGCCCCCGAAAGTAGCCTCGGAAAAGAATGACCCCCACGAAGATGAGATCTCGGAAAATATTTATGCGCGCGAAGTCATAGGTGACAGATTATCTCGATTTGTCAAATTTTTAGACGGTGACATTAGTGACATTTTTCAAGTTGAAGTCAGATTGAAAAGTGTACAGGATGATTTTGCAGATTTTGATAAAATACAAACGAGGCTAGAATATTTAGTTTCTGCAGAAAAGGA